TGGGTAGGCATAGGGGGAGGGAGGGGATGAAGGAGTGTCTGTTGTGTGATGATGAGTTTGAAACTGTAAGTCATGTGTTGTGGGAGTGTCCAGCATAGAGTAGTCTTAGGACCAATTTCTTAGTTGCCCTGCAGGGGGTGCTTGGGGATGATGGGTTTGAGCATTTCCAGTCGCTTGATAGTTTTCAGGAAAGCATCCTTTATTTTGGGCAGTGAGTTGTGGGAGGGTAAATTTGGTTCTTTGCTTGGCCTTATTGGATTGTATATTTGATGCTTGGGAGCTAAGAAAGGTTAGGTTATATGGCGATAATCCCAGCGTACAATAGACACAGTCTCAGATTGCGTCTGGGGAGCTGCAGGGTGTCACTGGTGGAAGAGGTGAGACAGACACCGCATGTTCACATGGTGTATATTCGTTTGTTAACGGTTGCGCCCATTGCTCTGGGTGCGTTGTCTATGGCCCTAGTGCTATGGCAGCCACGTGAGTATTATTATTATTGTGCGATTTCACTCCCTTATTCGAATCATTGGACGTTTTTTTAACTTTTGTACGTTCTTTGTTTCATATGAATCATTTGTTCTCCACATTTTTATTTCTTATTAACTACTTTTCTGTCATTTGTAAGTTTACCTGAATTATCTGTCCCGTTTTTCTTAGATTTTGAATGCATTTACTTCTCCTTTGCACGGTTTCTACGCGTATATTCATGTTGAATCGTCTTTTATCATGTAATTTCATATCCATTCTGTTTTGCTGCTTTTATACGTTCTCCTTCCCCTTCTTCACACCATAAATGTTTCCTCTCATCTCTCTAACAACTTTTGAGGTGGTAATCATGCAAGGACCGGGAAGGTTTAGTATCATACTAGTAGATAGCATGCGGGAGTCCATTCGTTGAGCCCCCAAGGTACAGAGCGAGCGGATCAGGTCGCGGTGAGCCCAGTGCGATTGTGCATATTGGCTTTTTCGCTTGTTTTCACAGCATATCTCTTGAACGCAGTAGTTTCAGAGGAAAATCACCCTTTTATTTTTAAGGCTCGCGTAGTCCTGAAGCCGCTGATATCGCTAATAGGCCACCTCATAGCCTGTAGTGCCAGAATAAGCGTCGACACACACACACACACAGACAGACAAACCAACAACTGTAATCCTCGCTGTGCATGCACGCCGAGGGTTAATAAAGCCAGTGTGGCACTGAACCCGTTGGTATCGCTTTATGGCCGTCTTGTTGCATGTAGCGGGAGAAAACGTGGCCCACTGTAGTAAAGTTAACGGTGGCAGATAAAGGTCTAGCAAGCAACGAGCGTTGTTTCTAAAGAACACTAGCGTTGTAGCGCAGTCGTGTCTAGCATGCTTGCTGTCGCTTCTCGCTCTCCTTTGCACCCGCTGAGCGCGCTGACGCGACATGCGCGCGTGCGACCGCGCCCACTAAACCACGTACATCAACACGGCAAGAGCAGCCCCCTTGATCACCTCGCCATCAGCACTGTCGCTTTGTGAACGCCGTGTGGATCTCCTCGCCTTACAGCTAGCTAACGCTGCATGGGGCAACGCTGCTTGGTAGAGGACTGTATCTGGGTGTTAGTAAACTACGGCATACTGTGCCGTAGCAGGTCTACGGCTTCCACTGTAGTACGGCGTTGCTACGGCGTAGCAAGACCGTAGTTCTACTACTACTACAGTGTGACCGGTACGGTAGTGGGAACTGTTTTTGGCTTGTACTATATACATGCATGCACTGCTTACTCTAGCTCTCTCTATACGCACCTCACTTTATTTTTCTGTCTACTCACATCCATATTTGTGTCACAACATACAGCCAAGCTATTGTACATGAGAGTGAATTACCTGAGGTTAATGGTCATACACAATGTCATCCACATGGAGGAAACAACTGTGTATAAAAGCATGGACCAGTCGGAAAAACATATGCACATGCACATATGAAAGGTTCAGTTGCGTAAACGCAGGAAAATGTGCGCATGTGCAGAAAATACGTGTAGCAGGTGCGCAAGCACAGGAAGACGTGCGAAAAAATAGTGCGAATGCACAGAAGAGACGTAAAACACTGACATTCCAATGCAGAGAAAATCGTTGATCAGTGTGAAAAATAAGAAAAATTCGCAAAACGGAAAAAATGTGAAGTAGTTAGTGAAAAAAACTTTTTTCCTATTTTTCTCACATCCTATTTCTGACACAACATACAGCCAAGCTATTCTACATGGGAGTGAAATACCTGAGGTTAATGGTCATACACAATGTTATCCACATGGAGGAAAGAACTGTGTAAAATGGGCAGAAAAAGCATGGACCAGTCAGAAAAACATATGCACATGCACATATGAAAAACACGTGGTGCAGTTGCGTAAACGCAGGAAAATGTGCGCATGTGCAGAAAATACCTGTAGCAGGTGCGCAAGCGCAGGAAGACGTGCGAATGCACAGAAAATAATAGTGCAAATGCACAGCAGAGACTTAAAACACTGACATTCCAATGCACAGAAAATCGTTGATCGGTGTGAAAATTCAAAAAATGTGCAAAACGGCAAAAAAATGTGAAATAGTTTTCATCCGCACGACACACTTGGAGCACCTGTGCAAATGCAGAAAAACACGAAAAACATTCCAAATGCGCAGAAAAGATGTGAGACAGTGACAATCAGGTCGCAATGCACAGAAAACAACGTTGATCAGTGAAACAAACTAAGAAAAACTCCCAACAATGTGGAAAAAACTTATAACTGTATCGTTGGCGAAAACACGTACAGCAGTGAGAAAAATCTTCACCTGTGCTGAAAAGGTGGGCTGGTGGGCAAATGCAGAAAACCGTGCGAATTGTGTCACCCGCTCTGGGATAACAATTTGGCGCATAAATTCAATATTGCGTTACGCGTAACGTTCTAAAGTGCAACACACTCTACATACAACGAAGAAAACTGTACTGCTTCCGTTCATGAGCAAAAACACGCGCACACTGCCGCCCGCGTTATTTGGAATATTGTGTGCAGAAATTATTTTTATGATGCAATACAAGCGGAGGAAACACCCACAACTATGATGGGACGCTGCTGGCGCTACGAGCGGTAGATCGACTTCGTTCTAACGCGAAAAGGTAGAGGCTAGGTTATAGTCATAAAGTATTATTTTCCAAAACCATTGAGTTTTTTGAAATTCTATATTTCCGCCGAATGGTGTATACCTTTTCCCATCGCGGGTCACATATTCCAAAAACGTACAAATAGGAAGAAAAGACATGAAGCACTGGTAATGACATTCCAATGCACATAAGCAACGTGGATCAGTTTTTTAAAAACTGAGAAACCTTCCAACAATGACGAAAAGCTCAGAAAAACGTATAACAGTATAAAAATCGTTGAAAAAATCTTTAAAATGGACCAAGAGCACTTTGAACAGCAAGAAAATATTTCCATCCGTACAAAACACTTGCAAAAATGCAAAAAAAAACGCGCAGAAATATATTCCAAAATGCTGCAAATGCACAGAATGACGTGATACGTTAAATGACATTCCAATCCTCAGAAAAAATGCGGATAACTGAAAAAAACCGAAGCATGTGCAAAGGCGCAGAAAAAAAACTTGTAACATGGCCAGAAATGAGCAGTGACAAAAACGTATGGACATATCGATGTCGTAAGTTTGTCAACGACGTCGCATTTTTTGGAGACACAAGAGTGGAAGAAGACTATACGTAGCACTTTGACTAGTGTTGGAGTGTGGAATCAATCGTAACACCAGCTACCTACCCCTATCTCGCCAAAATTTGGCTGTCCCCCTTAATGTTGGTGTCAACAACTTCGCATTTTTGGAGACACAAGAGTGGAAGAAGACTATGCAGAGCACTTTCACTAGAGTTGGAGTGTGGAATCGTAAAACCTGCTATTTCGCTACACCTATCTCGCACAAATTTAGCCATCCTCCTTGTCAACGATTTCCCCAAGTATGAAAGAAGAGCCAACTATACTAAGTACATGAACTAATGTATGTTGGAGTATGCAATAGTAACATCTGCTATCTTGCTGCTATCTCCCCCAAATTACGCTTTCCTTTCCTAAGTAAGGGTGTCAACGACTTCGAATTTATTTTAGGCATAAGAGACAAACCAACTATGCATAGTACTTTGATTAGTGTTGGAGTGTGGAATCGTATTAACTGCTCTCTTGCTGCACCTAACTGCTCTCTTGCTGCACCTACTCATTATCCTAAGGGTGTCAACGATTTCGCATTTTTAGTAGGCACAAACGGAGATGAAGAGACGAACAAATTATGCCTACTACTTTTCCTAGTGTTGGAGTGATGAATAGTAACCTCTTCTATCATGCTGCACTTATCCCTATCACCCCTGTCCTTCCTAAGTAAGGGTGTCAACGATTTTGCAGGCACAAGAGTTAAAGAAGAGACAAAGTACTGTAACTATGCGTAGCACTTTGACGCAACACCTGCTATCTCTCTATACCTATACCTATCTCGCCAAAATTTGGCTATCCTCGGTGTCAACGATTTTGCAACTTTTGTACGCACAAGAGTGGAGGATGAGACAAACCAATTAGGTGTAGTACATGGACTAATGTAGTACGGAATAGTAATATCTTTCTGCACTTATCCAGCCAAAATTTCGCTTTCCCCCCAAAAGAAAGGTGTCAAGCATTGCGCATTCTTTATGGGCACAAGAGTGAAAGAAAAAACAAACTAACTGTGCGTAGTACTTTCACTATTGTTGGAGTGTATATTAGTAACATCTGATATCTTGCTGCACCTATCCCTATCTCCCCAAAATATCGCTATCCTCCCTAATTAAGGGTGTCAACACTTTTAGTAGGCACAAGAGTGAAAGAAGAGACAAATTAACTATGCGTAGTAATTTAACTACTGTTGGAATGTATAATAGTAACATCTCATATCTTGCTGCACCTATCATTATCTCCCTAAAATATCGCTATCCTCCTTTAGCAAGGGTGTCAGCGATTTCGCATTTTTGGTACGCACAAGAGACAAACAAACTATGCGTAGCACTTGAGTACAGAATAGTAACATCTGATATCTTGCTGCACTTATCTGTATCTCTCAAAATTGTCCCTGTGCCCCCTAAAGAAAGGTGTCAGGATTGCACATGTTTTGTGGGCACATCTCGCCAAAATTTCGCTATGCCTCTAAATATTGGCGTGAACAGTTTTTTGGCACAAGAATGGAAGAAGAGAAAAAAACAACAACATGTGTATCACTTTGACTAGTGTTGGAGTGTGGAATCGTAACACCTGCTATCTCGCTACACCTATCTCTATCACGCCTAAATTTTGCTGAATATTTGTGTCAACCATTTCGCAGTAGGCACAATAGTGGAAGAAGAGACAAACAAGCTATGCGTACCACTTTGACTTATTGCAACACAAAAATTTGCCTCTCCCCCGTAATGTTGGAGTCAACGATATTGCATTTCTTGTAGGCACAAGAGTGGAAGAAGAGACAAACCAATTTTGCAAAGCGCTAGAAGCAGCGGGCCACAGGTTCCGTAGAGGCAGCTGGTGTGGAGGAGGCTCTTAAATTTTTTTGGGTAGGTGGCAGAGTTCAGAGGGAGAGCTATGCCAACGTCTCGGTTCGTCTGGCGATTCAGTTCTCCTACGGCACAACCTATATGCAGCTGGGTAGGACCTATGGTATATGTGCGTCTAGTTATTCCTGTGGAAGATGGTCTTGGCGCCAAATAACCATCGTCTCCAAAGCACGGTTGTAATATCGACCTCGAGCATACGCAATGCGGCCATCGAGCGCGGCGCATCATCGTCGTCTTGGTCACGGCGCGGCGGAGCGCGGGCAGCACGCGTGTCACCGCGGTCCGAGTTCGAATACGCGACTTTTCAGCTTGTAGGTGGCCATGCCGCCGTGCGACGTGCCTGAGTCTCACTCGCCATTAAGTATACATAACCGCGTACAGCCGTCATTATCTATGCAGAAGTATCCATACAGAAGGGGGATACCACAAGCGACCAGCCGCGTTAATTGGCAGCAACCCACACTTCCGATTAACGCCAACCCACAATCCCAATTGGAGCCCACTTAATAAACGCGGTGAAAACGCAAGAACGTTGCGCAATAGCCAATAAGAACGTGCAAATGCTCAGAAAAGACATCGAACAGAGCAGATTTAACGCAAAAACAATGGTACAATTGCTGTCAAACCTGTGGTGCCTTCCCACATAAGACTGGTTGTATATACATTACGCTGGCGTCCTTAACTCGCTATTATACGCCACAGCAACGCCCCGCTGCGCCGAGGGACTCTAGATTAGGCCACCACCGACCGCATACACAGAGCATACTTAGCACATGAAATGCCTACCCGAAGTGAAGATGAATACCACCAGGCCGCTGGAGCCAGGAACGGAGGTCGACTCCCCCAGAGGCAAGTCCCAGAGACGTGTATGTGGGAAAGATAGATTGAGACGGGAGACGTAGTCGGTCGTTGCCAGGGAACAAGGAGCTGGTGGACATGGCCATGGTTTACAACTTCGCGAAGAAAACACAGCTCTGTTGTTGACCAGCGGTAGAGGAGAGACCTGCGAGCGTTGCTAGGTTGATCCCAATTTCAATCTTTGCGCATTCGCTATATCGCGAGCCTAGCGGGCGGATTTTACTGCGCATGCGCGCTGGCCCAGCGCTCTACGGGAGAGCGCCCGCCTCGTTAATAGCCGTTTAAACGTCATTTGGCGCCAAGAAACATTTCCAAGTAACGCCCACCCAAAATTCCTATGACGTTTGTATCAACATGGAAGCTGTGAATATTATACAGAACTGAAAACAAAAGCTCAGTCAATACGTGGAACAAAGAGGATATACGTGCCGAATTTCGCAGTCAATTTCCAATATGAACCTGCATAAAAGTAGAACGGTTAAAAAACGAGTGCGAAAAGTGAATAATGTGCTTGTATAATTCCAAATATCGCCCACGCACATTTCAAATTAATCCTAACAAACAATTCCATTCGTTTCACAAGCACATTTCTAATTAATCCCAACCATCATTGCAATTCGTGCCCACCCTCATTTCCAATTAAAGTCAACCCCGCAAGTTTGATTGGTGCCCGGCCACATTTCCAATTAATACCCACCCACTATTCCAATTGGTGCCTACCCACAATTCCAACTAATGCCCACCCACAATACCAATTGGTGCCCAACCTATTTAAAATTAATGCCCACTCAAAAGTCCAATTGGTACCCACCCACATTTACAATTAATGCCCAAGCACACAATTCCAATTGGTGCTCACATTCATTTCCAGTTTATGCTCACCCACAATTCAAATTGGTGTCCATCCACATTTGTATTAATGCCCGCACACATTTCCACCCTCATTTCTAATTAATGCCCGCCCAGAATTCCAATTGGTGCCCACCATCATTTTCAATTAATGACCGCCCATAATTACAATTGATGCCCATCCATGAATGGCCACATACAATTCAAATTAGTGCCCACCAAAATTTTTCAAACTACAATCACAACGTAAAAGCTATGGATATGAGGTAGATATGTGTACATAAAAAAGTGTAATAAACATAAGAACGTTTAAATTTGAAATATGAACATAGAAATTTGTAGAAATGTAAAAGTCAATAAGATAAAGGTAAAACGGATAAAAAAATCTCTGAAAAGCAAGATATGTTGAACCGAGCAATTATTAAATGCAAATAAGCTAATGTATGCAAAATGAAGGAGAATGGTATATGAGCTTAATAAACGTACCGGAGCGAAAATGGAGATCATATATCAAAAATCATGTGTTTTAATAAATCAAATAAATCAGAAGATAAACGCAAATTAGGATGTGAGTGCGGCGGGGTGTACTAAAAATGAAAGAGAATAGTATATGAGCTCAAAACACGTACTGGCGTGAAAATGGAGATCATATCTCAAAAATCATGTGTTTTGAAGGACAAAAACTTAAACATGTCAGAATATGTGACCCGCTACGGGAAAACGTCCATTTTCTCGCAAAATATATGTAAATGTCCACGCGAAAACCAGGCATAAGGCGGGAAAAATATTTTTTGATATTTCACCGGATTCCGCGTTTTCTACCCTTGTTCAAAATTTGGTGCGGATGTCCCGTTCCATTCTGGATGCTTTTGTTGCCGGGAGTACGGCAATTTTTCTAGGTAAAGAAATATTTCCGCATAAGCGCTGCGTTGCACGTCGTGCGTTGACACGCCCCCTAAACCCGTTCGCACGGTTGTGGAACAAGGCTATCTCTCGTGGAAACTATGAAGAGTTTGACGGCCCGTAAATTTCAATGCGTAATTCCGGTGTAATGCTCCCGTTACGGTCGTGTGGAGTTCCACGTAGCGCTATCTCAATAGTAAAGTCCAAACAGCGGGTACCGCGCGATTCAGACTTTTTTTAACGGAGAAGGACCTAGCGCTCTCGCAAGGCGATGAGGAGGGCCTAACGGAGTCTTCGCCTCTAATTTTAAATAACACTCGTCCACTGCAAACATGCCCCAGTTTGTATTGTAGCCCCTGTCGTCTTGCATACTTCAGATTTGGGTAGTCTGCGCGAGTATCTACCATTCGCCCATAGGCCTCCTCAATCCAAACCGCGTTGAATTACGTCATTATTAAGCGCTGTTGTACTACGCGCATTAGGGGCCACAACGCTTCCGTTTATAACGCTTGGCAGGAAAGGGCTACAAACGCGGGATTTGCGTCATCATAAGGTGCACATAACTCGCTTACTGACTGTCAATTTCGTTTTCCCGTAGCCGGTCATAAATATAGATATTTCAAATAACGTGTAAATTCTGCGTTCGATGTGAGTGCGGCGGGGTATACTGACGTGATCGGATGAATTAAACGTTGAAGTTTGAGAAATATATTTTATGAGAGTCCCGGTTCCGTTAACTTGTCAAATTTCTCGTATGAAGTCCAAGGTGCGTCCGGCTCCATTCATTGTTCCCTCCGAACGGAATGAAGTTAATGTGTCACATTAAAAACGGGAATCGCAACAATGCACAAATATTCCACTTTTTGATCTAATTTTGTACATATATCCACAATCTTATTTCAATTTTCATCAGTCTGGTCCTCAAGAATGCTACCCACCTGAGCTGCTGTGAATACTTGGGGGTGTGATCTACCGTTGTTTACGCTACACTGAACCGCGGAGTAGCCACAACTCGCAGCGGTTACGAAGGCAGCTGGTACAATGATGCGGTTTGGGCGCATGCGCGTCTTTTCGCGGTGGACCCGCCCATCCTAGTTCCGTACCTGAGGTACGCAGAGGTTGTTTTTGGATGCCGTCCAGCGATCTCAACTTCCGCAGTGGGCAGGTAAGTGCGGATGACGCATATATCCGCCTTTGGTTGTACGTGCGTCCGTTTTAAATGACACGTATATGCGTCTTCGGTCGGTAAAGGGTTAAGGGGTCTACGTATCAATGTTCCTTTTCGTTTTTTGCACACACTATCTAACTTGCAATTAACGATAACGTATGAATTTGTGCCAAAAAACTGTGATATCAAAATGAATATGATGCAAAGAATAATACGTGAACATAAAGGATTTAACTGCGTAAAATTAAACAAAAAAACGAGTGAATATCGAACTTTAGAAAAAACGCCAATATGGTTCGTACCAAACTGAGAAACGCCGACACATTGGTCAGCATTCACTCCAATATGTATGTATTTTGTGCGCCTTTTGGAAGTTATGTGTTTCAATATTAATATGTCATAGAAGCGAAAAGAACGAAAAGAGAGTGAAAAAAGCCACAAAATTTAATGGAAAGCAAAAACATCAAATATACTGCGCGTTAATGGAAATACGCGATTTAGACGGAGGCCGTGCCAGCCTTCAAAATCGTCCAGGTCAACCGTCTTCCGATAGCCGGTGGAAGTTTCTTAGGCATCGGATAGCGACAGTTCGCGGAAGTTCATCGAAGATTTTTTTTGCGGGCGTTTCCATGGAAACACGCACTTGGAAAATACGGGATTTATAATCCACGTTTTTTGGTCAATTTTAATCTGCCGACGTATAAACGTCAGAATTTAATGATCAAACGCGCCATGTGACATTTCGAAAAACTTTTTTAAAAATACGTTACGTTAAACGGCAAAAATGCAATGATGAACTCAATAAACCACTTTCAAAACCATGATAAACGAACAAAAACTTGAAAAAAAACAAGTTCAAAACGTTATAATAAATAATATTTGAAATCAGATGAACTCAATAAACGTGAGAACATGCATATGTATTGCGAATAAATCTGTGGAAAAGATAAACGCACAAAAACGGTACCAATTCTAAGCGAAAGAGAAAAATGACAAATTGTAAACGAACTGGGATTAGGTATAACGCGAAAAAACCGTAAGAAATGACTATCGCTTGTGGATGTCACAGCATATGTCACATACGCTGTGGCTGCCAAAACAACCCGCGTTTATACAAAAAGCTTATCACAAGCATTTGTGACAGTTTCATGCTCCAAATTAAATTAGCGATTGTTTGTTTAAATAGAATTTTTATTACAATTTTTTCTTACTTTAATCAAAATCCATAATTAGAAATTAAAAAAAAAAACAATTTGTGACTAACAACAGAAAATTGCATTAAAAAATTCAATCACGCAGTGTCATTTATATATTTCAAAAACTGAACTGACCAATCGGACGACGCGAAGTAAGTGCACCAAAGGTAAATACGTGCATGAATGTGTGTTTTCGCTGTACAGAAAAGAGCGAGCGTGTGTGAGAGAAAATACACTATGGTTTATACTTCTGCGATGCACAGCACAGTTTTCTATGGAGTTTACTTTTTGAAGTCAGTTGTATGTTGGTTAGGTCACATTTTCATAGAAAGTTACTCGTTTTTTGGAGAAGAAATTTCACTTATATATGACGCTCAAAATATCTCGTGCGAAAACTTTATGATCCATGCGACGGTTTTTTGAGGTTTAAATGTTGCTGAATACGTGGAACAGAGGAAATGATGTGCCAATGAAACCGGAATTGTGGGTGGGTCTATTTTTGCGCCATTTTGTTACTTTTACCATACGTTGTTAATTGTTTCTTATGGCAAACACGAAGTCGGTCTAACGCTTAATTTTCGTATGTGATATATCGGACAACTCGCAGATATATCGTTCGTTCTATGAAGCTTCCTTTTGGTTTTCGAAACGCAATTTTAATTTTATATAGAAGTTCATAAATATTTTCATACGTTATTTTTTCACTATTTAATCACTTTTCTCTTATACACATTGTTTGATATTCACACTCTTAATTCGACCTTATCGGTGAAAAGCAGCATTTGTAGCTATAAACGCGGCCACAAAGCGTTTATTTGTGTGTGTGTGATGAGTGAGTGAGTGAGTGTCCGCAATGAGTTAACCGTTTACCGACCGCGCATACGCGTTATGACGCATACCCGCATAACCGCGCGGTGGAGACGTCCCTCGCTTTCGCGCGAAACAAGTACCGCGTTTGGTCTACTCGCACAGAAGCTAATAATATTCTTTTGCGCGGGGAGGAAGCGCAAACGCTGCGTGGAAAAATGTGAGATTGTTATGTAATGGCTGCTTCAGTTTTGCATTGGGTTACAGAGT